TATCTATCTATCTATCTATCTATCTATCTATCTATCTATCTATCTATTGCCCCACTTTCCTCCCTGACTTCTGCAGTAGATGGAGTTCCTCGAGGTCTGGGACCTGCTCCGGTTTCGTCTTTATTCTTGCCTTTGTAAGTCTCTACATTCCTGGTGCTTATTATAGTATCTGGCCCATAATTCATTCGTAGCAAAATTCCTTAAATTTTATTATAACATCAAGAAGGAAAGTTGTAAAATTGTACCTTAGCTAGTGCAAACAGAAAACAAAACAGCACTTCACCCAGTTGACGGTGGTGTGATTCCACATCAGTCCCCATTTTACACAGGAAGGTAGTTGCTAATTTAACAAGATTTCATGGCCAATAAAATATTTATGATGCTTTTAGTGTTCAATGCATTTATCTTACAGTTATTATTATAAAAAATTGTATTTTATTTATTTTCTTTTTTTGGAGAGCGTCTGGGGAATTGTGAATCATGGAATCTCAGGGTTTGTACTTGGCTAGATTTTAATGGACACATAGAGAGGAGCAACCTTCACTGGGCTTTGCAGAAGGCATTGCAGAAGGCAGAGGATGGGAGGAGGAATAGTATCAGAAAAAAATAACTAATGAATACTTAGGCTTAATACCTGGCTGATGAAATAATCTGTACAACAAACCTCCATGACAAGAATTTACCTTTGTAACAAACCTGCACACATACTCCTCAACTTAAAGTAAGACTAAAAAAAAATAATAATAATCATTTGGTAGAAGGGAACACTGAAGCCATGTGAATCAGAAGGGCCACTCTTAATTGCTTATTTTCACTGCTATGCCTCCCTTCACTCTGGAAATCTTCTAGAGGTCTTGTACTAAGGAGAGCATGCTCAGGTTTCCCAAGCTCTACAAAATCACCCAGAATGCCGAAGACTTCAACACAAGGGTAAACAGGGTTGATCTCAGAATTGTCACCTCAAAAAGGCCCTGCCTTCTGCTGCTCAATTCTGGTCATCTGCCTATGAGATATCTGAAGCTTGAAAGAGAACACTTGAAAAGCACTGAGACCGTGACTCCCACCCCAGCACACACAGTCAGCCAAGTAGGTTAGAGATTTCTTCTCTGGTGATGAGTTCACACCACATGGGGTGTATTCTCGAGTTCCAGTGTGTTGACTCCTTCCTGCTTCTCCCCATCAGCTCCTGAGATCAATGTGGGCAGCAGCCCCCATCTGGCCCAAGTTCAAGATCCGCTGTCAAAGACTTTTTTTAGGTGGTCACGCAGCCCTGCATGGAGACCTGATGGGAGCATGCCTAACTGTTGCTGGGTTTGTCATTTTAAATAAAATATTTCTTTAGCTAGTGAGTAAAATTGGCTATATAGGAACTCAGAGATCACATGAGTCACTTTTTTTTTTTAATGGAACAGAGAATCAGCAAAGAGACCACAAAAGGTTTAGGTAATTATCAGAAGACCGTGCAGATGCTGAGTTGGGTGTTAAATTTGTCACATAGAGGGGTCTAGCACATAGATGCCCATCACAGCTGAAAGTGGCAGAGTGGTTGGGTGACCCTATCCAAAGGAAAGATAGATGTGTTCCTGGCCAGCTCAGGGGTGAGATGTGAGCACAGCTGCATGGCCATGCTGCTGCCTTGGGTCTTTGTCAGAGGTGATTCAGAAGTTTAGGCAGAGGTCATTGCCCAGATCAGTCCCAGTGCTACATGATGCTGGTGGTCATGACTTGCAAGGGTGGTTCCTGGGCCGTCAATGAGAATAATACAGGGAGTTCCCTCTCTAGGTCTCAGTGAGAGAACAGTCTCTGAGGCTCTGGCTTCTGAGCCAGATATTCTTGATGGGCATCCTTCACAGCTGCCCTCTTCTGGGAAGGCTTCCTAGTCACATTCAAGACTGGGAACAAAGAGAAGAGATCCTTATTGTTTCTATTGTCTCCCATATCTAGTGATACTTAAGTGACTAATTTTATTATTCCTTGTTGACTGTGATTCTATTAATCGCAAAATATGACCCATTTTCACTGGATTATTTACAGAAATCCATTTTCTACAGCATTTGAATTCTAAGGCTGTTTTAGGTGAGAAATAAACAAGTAGAGCTAAGAATGCCTGGAAATCTCAGGCACTTTGATTTTTTTTTTTTTTTTTTTTTTTTTTTGTAGAGAGGTCAAGGATGGTCCAAAATAAATATTTAAAATAGAGGATATTCCATTGTGCTATAATAACATTTTTCATAATTTTTTGTTGTTTCATCACTACTGAGGATCAAACTATGTAATTCCCAGAACAACTTATAAATTTTTAAATAAATTTAATCTGGGCTTTAATAGTTCTGTCATTGCAGTGACAAAACTAATAATGAAACTTAAGTGGGGAAATTCAGGGCAGGTGTGGAAAACTTAGTAGATCAAGACTTAAAGGGTGGAAGATGGGGACATTTAAGAAGGCAGCTAAAAACTAAATTGTACAGGTTTTAAGTGTGAGGTTAAGAAATTGGGACTTAATTGCTTGGGCATTGAAGGGTCAAAATAGAATTTAGATTAAAAAAATGTTTATGATCAGACCATTTTGGGGAAATGAATCAAATGTGTCTTTTAACATGAGTGGTAGAAGGACAACTACTGGCAGAGATTCCGGAGGAGAGTTTAGGGAGAATTAAACCCAAGAATGGGAATGTGTTTGCAGAGGAGGGAGCATGTTTTGAGGGGAGCTTCTTTGTTCATCAAGATTGTGGCATATCTATGACGTAAGAGACTCTGAGAGCACAGTGGATATAGATGTTAACACACCAGACCCTGCCTCTCTTGCCCTCGGACCTTACCTAAGGTCAGAGTTGATGGTCAAAAATTGTGTACATATTGCTTATTTACCAATGTGATGAGTCCTGTGGTCTGTGGGTAGAGCATAATTGTCATTTAAAAGAATTCATTCTCCTCACTCCCAAGAAGGCATAGAAACATGGCACCAATTTGAGACAAACTGGGGTTCTGCCAAAGCCAAGGGACCCTTGTCTAACAGAGGGACACTTTCAGGCTTCTTCCCTTTCCCCAAGTGCTGCCTGAAGCTGTCCTTTAGATGCCTGTCCACACCCTGAGCCCCACATGAGTTTTGTTTGACCAAGAACTAAAGTCATGAGAATGGCTTCATTTCTTCCTTTGATACTGTGTGGATCACATCACAAAGACAGGAAATTTTACCAGAAAATTTTCTCCACCATCCATGCAGAGAGTCTCAAGTATAAATCAGTAATGTTCATGATGGGCAAAGCAACATGATTATTTGGAAGAAATATTTTTGAAAATGTATGGGTACGTTGTTCATTTGCTAGAATGCTTCCAATAATTTCACTTTGCTTATTTTAATGTGACTTTGGAGATTTTCAAAGTGGTCCTTTGCTGATGGAGTTTGTGTTAATTCATTTTAAGTTTCAAAATAAATTTTTCCACTCAAGCAATTCAGGGAATCAAATTTGTTTCAACCATCACAGCCATATGCATACTCCTATGGTTGCTCCTAGCCTTTGATCTAAAAACTGATTTGAGGTTAAAACCAGCATGTCACCTTTACAGGAACCCAAGTCCATTAAGAGCCCCAGTGTCAGGCCACACTCAAGTTTTCTCATCATGCATCCAGTCAGCATAGTTGAGCAACCCTCCTTGAAGTGTAATGTGGTTATTGGCAGGAGAATGAAAAATCAGTTTTGATTTTAAGTTGTTCTTGTTGAAATTTTAGGGGGAGGTGATGGAAAAGAGAATATACGTACCATAAAAAAATGGCTCCTGAAAACATTTGTTCTTGATTCCCCAGAGTCCATACCATGGAAACAGATTCCTCGTCGTTTAAGAATACCATATGATTGCTTATATATGGGCATGAATTAAACAACTGGGCCTTTCAACATTTTTGGAGAAGGCTATTTTACACTTTTAAAATGGATGTGCTCCTATAAGATCAGGTATGTTTTATGTACTAAAATAACAGTGCACAGGTATAAAATATAACTTAGCAGTACCTCTCTCTGCTCCTGGCATTGTTGGTTCATATTAGCTTAAACTATTTCTGACCTATACCTTATTACTGTAACTTGGGTGTTTCATATTATGCAAATCCTAATGACTTGCCTGGTTTCCCATTAAGTTAAATTTGGGCAAGATTGCCAGTGTTCTCTGAGACTGCAACTTTTAAAATTCAATTATTCACTCATGTTTTACGAAGAAAAGAGTGTGTTCTTTATGCCAGGGTCTTTCTGGGTTCTTGAACACAGTAGTGTGCATAACAGAAAAATTTCCAACCTCATGGAACTTACACATAGAGAAGGCAAATCTTGAACAAGAAGTGTTACCAAAGTCAAAGGTCAAGGTCAGATGGAATGTATTCCAAGGAAAACTAACCTGGTATTTCATTCAGCTGCACTACCTATGAATGTACACTTGTATAAGGCCTGCCTTTTATAAAGCACCCTCTAGTACTTGTGCTACTTATAACGACTATACTAGTACTTATACTACTCTTTATGGGAGGAAAAAATAAATTTTCTACTCATGAATTCATGGTGTTGGAAGCAGAAAGACTAGTTTTAATTCTAGTACAGGCACTATAGGTATGAGCAAGTTAAGTTCTAAATGTTTGTAAATTAGAAACTTAGAATACATCTTCACTCTTGACGTAGTATAGACTTCACTAGTTGAGGTGTACCTCCTCTGAGTCCCTGGAGTCTTGAGAGACTCATAGAGAGTGAGGTGGGGGAGGGAGCTGGCTCAGTTAATGTTCTGGAATGCAGGCTGCTCTGAAACAGTGCTGCTGGAAGTTCTTGAAGCAACGGTGGAGAGCGGAAAAGCAGGATAAACTTGGCATCTGCTCTCCGACCAAAATGTTTTGACAGATGCATTGGTGTCAAGGCAATGATGCCACTTCTAACTTAATTCTCCCTCCTGGGCCGTGTGTGAAGGACATGCCTGAGAGGTTCACTTCAGTTGCTCCACTGATTCTTGTTGCATCAAAAACATACATGAAAATTCATTCCATCTGTTTTCATGATTGTTTAACGCTGTCTCTTCTGAAAACTATGCTATTACTTCGTCTTGAAATTATGCCTTTGTCAGAGTCATTCCAAATACATTTTGTGGTTTAGCTGGATGCTGATTTAATGTTTTCAATGAGATTTAATGGAAAATAAAAACAAAGATGATGCCGCCTTTATAGATGGCATCAACCTAGCTCTTAGAATATTGTGAAATTAGTTCCTTGATCATTTTGTCTGGTTAGAAAATAAGATATACTTTTCTTATAAATTGTGGATTTTCCCAAAAATATTTTCAAAGAGATTTTTGCAGGCAACATTTTGGGACTGTTACTACTAAAGGGGACCTGTGTGGTTTCTCTCAGTTGTTCACAGAAGTCTGGCTTAGTGACTGTTTCCAGACCTCAATTGGCTAATCCTACATTATATCGATTCCTGGACCCAACCAGGTTTTGCGAATCACAGGAGTCTGGAAGAATAGACTCACTGCGAGTAGACCCTGGAACCATAATCTTGAAATGCCTCTAAGAGGGTGTGCTGCCTGTCTGGGACAGGGTTTCTATCTCTCTCGATTTATTACACTTTTCATGTGTATAATAAGCACTGTCATAATATTAGGTTTTATGTCACGTGCAATCACAGATTATTCTAAATATTATTCAGTATTTTATCAGACCAACCAGATGGGACATTTATTCTACTTTTTTTTTTTTTCCTTGTGCAAATCGTCCTCTGGATTTTTGAACAGGTAATGCCCTTTTCTCTCAGCTCAGCCCTCACTCAAGAATGGATCTGATCCTGGGTTTGCAAACGGCTAACTGACCTCAGTCTAGTTCAAGTAAATGCCAGCAGTTCTGATGCCATGGTCAGGCTTATCCTTCTTACCCTTTCCCTTGCTCTTTAAGCCTTTGTGTGCTAATGATGGGTATCTGCTAAGAAGAGCTTGGCTCCTTGCTGGTTAAGATAGGAGAACACAGGTTTAGTGAGGTCAGACCTCTCCATATGCACTTTGCATGGATTTCTCTAATAGAGACCTTTATAGAGCATCATGTATTTGACCCCTGCTGACGTCACCACGGTAGTCTCACCCCATCTTATAAGGTCACCTTTCCACCTCAAGTTCACCTCCATGCCAAACGCAAGCTGATTACCTTTTTGCCTGAAATGGTCCTTTCTCCTCTTAACTGCCTGGTCACTCCAAATACCCATGTCTACTTCCCATACTACTTTTTTCTGAGATAATGCTGTCACCATGGTTTGCACAGATGGTGGATAAATACTGTTCTGAAGGCTGGCTTGGGGAATCCAACTACTTCAGGTTTGGGTTTTTCTACTTTTTGAAATTTATTTGACATTTTAGAAATATGACCAAAAAGAAGACAACAAAATGACAAGGAAGAGTCTCAGGAGTGGTATAATTGTAACAGAGCTGTTAAGATTAAGCAAAGTGTGGAAGGAATATTTTGTCAGCAACTTGCTTTAAGAATAAACTGTACAATTGAATGGGGCTTTTCCAGTCTGAAGTATCAGCAAGCTACAGCTTATAAATGCCTTCATCCACAAATGCTTTCTTAGGACCTCTTTCCTCCAGGAGTAGCTTATTGACAGGTTTTAAAAAGAAATGACATGCAGAGATGCTTGCCTATAAAACAGTTTAAATAGAACTATCTAGCCCCTAATGACTGTGACTCCTTTGAAGAATGCTATCTTTAGAGGTTCCTGGTGAGTCCCAAAATCTCACTTTGGTTTGGGAGTTTCTTCTCCAAGGGAATAAACTATTTCCAGATGGCATTGGCTTTGACTGGGGCAGAGATATTCTTTCTTAAACTGAAAACTAAAATGCAATGTTGAATTACTCCTCCAAAACGATGAACTATAATATTAGTTTTATCTTTTTTCATTAAATTGTAATGCTCAAATTACCTTACATGTAAACATTTTATCGAATGCCAGTATCATGACGAGTTAGGAATTAATACATTGTCAAACTCTAGAAGCTACAATTAGAAAACATTCTTTAGATTGATCTGTTTCTGCTGTTCTGTCAAATTGGAAGCATCCTGTTCCATAGTCTTAAGGGCCTTTCCCCATGTGGGTGTTCTTTTCATAGGCTAACATTCACTTCAGTCCTAAAGTGATCAAAGAGTTGTCCCTTGTAAAGGTCATCCAGATTTGTGAATTGCATCACTTTGTGCTAATGCTTCACACTGTTTATAATCTTTTCTTTTAAAAACAATTTTTTAGAGAATGGGGCTGACTCTCTTACCCAGGCTGGAGTGCAGTGGCACAACCATAGCTCACTGTGTCCTTAAACTCTTAGGCTCAAGTGATCCTCCTTTCTGAGCCTCCTGAATACCTGAGACTACAGGCGTACACACCATGCCTGGCTTTCTCACGCTTCTTCTCTCTCCTGATTGTGTAGAGGATTACTTCCCACCCTGTTGTCTCCTTAGCCTGACTGGGTGGAAGAGACCTCCCTATGTTAAGCATTTCAGAGTGTGTTTTCTGTATTTTTTCCAACCCCTACTTTTTCTTTTTCCTGTGAAAGTGGTTCTCAACCACTTGATTTTTGCCCCCTGGGGGACATCTGGCAATGTCTGGAGATATTTTGGGTTGTCACAATTAGGATGGGTGTCACTGGAATCTAGTGGGTAAAGGCTAGGGGTGCTGCCAAACAGTCTGCAATGCACAAAAGAGCCCCCAAACAAATAATTATCTGAACAGAAGTATCCACAGTGCCAAGACGAAAAAACTATGAACTAATGAAATGGCCACAATCTACTTTAATAAAAGATCAATTCTCAAGGGGCTCCTGCTACTTCATTAAATTGTCCACTTTATGTACTTTCTTATGTAGTGCAGATATTTTGGCATCTGAATCTATTTTTCTGCCCATCACAATTCTCTCCTACAAATTTTCTATTAGGTATCAGTTTTTCAAATGAGCAAGCACTCCTTTTTTTTTTTTTTTTTTTTTAGACGGAGTCTTGCTCTGTTGCCCAGGTTAGAGTGCAGTGGCACGACCTCAGCTCACTGCCAGCTCCACTCCTGGGTTCATGCCATTCTCTTGCCTCAGCCTCCCGAGTAGCTGGGACTACAGGTGCCCACCACCACACCTGGCGAATTTTTTATATTTTTAGTAGAGACAGGTTTCACCACGTTAGCCAGGATGGTCTCAATCTCTTGACTTTGTGATCCGCCCGCCTCGGCCTACCAAAGTGCTGGTATTACAGGCATGAGCCACCGCACCCAGCTGCAAGCACTTCTTAGTCTAATAATTTCTTTTCTCTGAAGTTGTCTTTTTTAGTCTTTGGAGTCCATTTTTCTAACCCAGTTAATGAATATAAACTTGTTTATAAAATTTATAGTTTTTTTTTTCACTAACTAGGTGACTTTGAACATATTTGACTTCTCTTTACTGTACCTCATCTGGAATATGCACTTAATTACATTGTTTCAAATACTTGTTAAAGTATTAAAGGTACTAATATATGTAAGGTGCTTAAAAATGTGCCTGTCATATATAAGTGCTTATCTAAGATATTTTTTCAACATGGAATGTCTTATAATACTAATAACTTTGTTTATTATGTGTACATCCATTAAATATGAAACACACTGTCCTTTTACACAAATGCTTTGTATGTTTAATTTCTTTTAGTCCAAGAGTCAACCAACATTAGAAATATTGGTATTAGAAGGAAACTCAAAAACTTGTTAAACCATAACTGCAAAATTTGATTTTCAGCTTAGTCTCTCACAAATTCTAAATTTTTCATGCAACCAAAGTTTTCTGTAGGCTCCCTTAGGGCAAATGCAAGTGGAGAGCTAAGGCACATGTTTCCACCTTCAAAATAATTTCAACTTCTATCACTTCTTGCCATCTCCATCATAGACACTCTGGCCCTGCATTTTCTGAAAGAACTTTCTGTGAA